TTCCCCTTGGCTCTGCTGCTGCTGCTGCTGCTGCTGCTGCTGCTGTTGCTGCTGCTGCTGCTGCTGCTGCTGCAGGCACTTCGGTCGCTGTGTTCGCTGCTGCTGATGTTGCTGCTGGCGCGCAAGACAAGCGCCGAACGCCGCAGCAGCTGCTGCGGCTGTGGCAGCGGCTGCTGCTGCTGCTGCTGCTGTTGCTGCTGCTGCTTCTGCTGCTGTTGCTGCTGCTAGCACAAGTAGAAGAGGCAGCGTCGCCACACCATAATAAATCTGCAGCAATAGGGTTGCTGCGGCTGCCAGCTCCAGCTGCTGCTGCTGCTGCTGCTGCTGCTGCTGTTGCTGCTGCGGTTCCTTCTGCTGCTGCTGCAGCCCACGGGGCAGCCAACACCATATCTACTGCATCTACAAGCATGCATACCTCTTGCTGCTGCTGCTGTTGGTGCTGCTGCTGCTGCTGTTGCTGTTGCTGTTGCTGCTGCTGCTCCTCGCTGTCATCATAGAGAGATAAAGGGGTTTCTTCGCTGCTGCTGTTGGTGGCAGCAGCAGCAAGTGCTGCTGCTACAGCTGCTGCTGCTGCTGCTGCCTCCGCTCCAAATTTTCTAAGCTGCTGCAGCAGCTGCAGCAGCAGCAGCAGAGCAGCAAACTCGCTGAGGTCAACGTACACCGCAGTTGCATGCGCATGCAGGAGCCTGCCAAGCGGTATGGGCTTTCGTTGCAGCTGCTGCTGCTGCTGCTGCTGCTGCTGTGGCTCCTGCTGCTGCTGCTGCTGCGGCTCCTGCTGCTGCTGCTGCTGCTGCTGCATATGAGCTCCGCAGGCAGAGCCACTGGCGGTGTAGCTGCAGCTGCAGCACAAGTCGCAGCAGCAGGCCCTGAGTAGGGTGCTGCAGCAGCAGCACTCTCCATCAGTGCTGCTGCTGCTGCTGCTGCTGCTGCTGTTGCTGCTGCTGCTGCTGCTGCTGCTTCTCCTTGACTTGTACAGGCGCAGGTTGACGGGGTGTATGAACAGCCGGTCGCAGCTGCTGTAGAACACATCTGCNTTGACTTGTACAGGCGCAGGTTGACGGGGTGTATGAACAGCCGGTCGCAGCTGCTGTAGAACACATCTGCTGCTGCTGCTGTTGCTGTTGCTGCTGCAGTTGCTGCACTCACATTCGCCAGAAGCAGCAGTTCCTGCTGCTGAACCCAGTGAGGCTCTTGCTGCTGCTGCTGCTGCTGCTCCTGCTGCTGCTGCTGCTCCTGCTGCTGCTGCTGCTGGTGAATGGCGCGGATGGATACAGCCGAAGCAAATCCGTCTTCAATCGTTACTACTACGCGGCCTGCTGCTGCTTCTGCTGCTGCCGCAGCTGCTGCTGCTGCTGCTGCTCCTACTGGCATTGATTCGGCTGCTGTTGCTGCTGCTGCTGTTGTTCTTTTTCCTGCTGCTGCTGCTGCTGCTGCTGCTGCTGCTGAGGGAACGATCAAGTTTACTGCAACGGTGCCGCAGCGGATCTCCCAGTTGCTGCGCTGCAGCACCGGCAGCACAGCTTCTACGGTCGTTGCTGCAGCAGGAGCAGCAGCAGCAGCAGCAGCAGCAGCAGCTGCTGCTGCTGCTGCTGCTGCTGCCCTGTGGTGATGCCTGCGCTGCCTATGAAACTCCCTAGCAAGCTCGGCTTCAACAACCTGCGCTGAGGTAGCTGCAGCAGCAGCAGCAGCAGCAGCAGCTCTTGCTGCAGTAACCTCTCTAGCAAAAGAGCGGAGGATAGAAGCTGCTGCTGCTGCAGCAGCAGCAGGCAGCTGCAGCGTTATCGGCAGCAGCACAACTCCCCATGATCTCTGCTGCAGCAGTGCTTCTCCATCGAGGAGACACCAACTATTAACCTGCTGCTGCTGCTGCTGCTGTTGCTGCTGCTGCTGCTGTTGCTGCTGCTGCTGTTGCTGCTGCTGCGGGCACTTGTGGAGCCCAACTCGGCCTTTCCGTCGCTCAGCAGCGAATGCGAACCACCAGCTGCTGCAGCAGTTGCTGCTGCTGCTGCTGCTGCCGTTCTTGCTGCTGCTGCTGCTGCTGCAGCTGGCAGCAGCAGCTGGAGACACAGCGGGCAGGGAGACGATACTTAGCTGCGGGGTTGCTACTTCTTCCTCTGCATGCAGCAGCAAGGCGTCTGCTGCCGTTGCTGCTGCATCGTTCTCTGCTGCTGNGCTACTTCTTCCTCTGCATGCAGCAGCAAGGCGTCTGCTGCCGTTGCTGCTGCATCGTTCTCTGCTGCTGTGAATCCGCCAAAGACTCTCTTGCGACATGGATCCTGCAGCAATTTCTGCTGCTCCTGCTGCTGCTGCATCTGCTGCTGCTGCTG